ATATATATATATATATATATAACAAATATATATTTAGTAATTATAAAAAACTTTAGTGTCAATTTTATTATAATTAATATAATATATATGCATACATAAATGATATTGTTTCTAAGAGTTAATTAAAGTCTTGTAATAAGATTAAATCATCTTAACAATGACACTTAAGAGAGGACTTTGAGAGTTTGAGTTTTTTTTGGCCCCCACTTGAGGAGAGATTCTAAAAAGGGACATTTTCAAAGGTGACCTAGAGTTGAATCATAGATCAAGTTGACAACTCTACTTTTTATATTGCTCATTATTAACTCAAGTTATTAAAACATAGTTTTTTGTTACCATAATATTTTTAAGGCTTAATAACTCGGATTATCCCCATTTTGGTAGAAAATTTCAATTTGGTATAGCTTTTAAGTTTACATCAATTTTGTTCTCAAATTCTTTAATGTGCATCAATCAAATCCCCATTTGACATCGTTAAAATAGTTAATGTTGTCTAATTAAACATGGTCTAGTGACAATTTATGTAGACGTGACACATGAATATTTTGTGATGTGGAAATTTGGGAGAAAAATAAGAAAATTAAAAACCAAATTGGAATAAAGACTTTCTCTATCTGTGAGAAGATGACGGAAAGACGATTTGGAGATTCCTTGTTATTTGTAAGTGAAAGTAAAAAATCAAACTTCAATTGACAACAAAGTGGGCTAGATTTTCAATTGAAAGTGCATATGTCTTGACTATGTACCATTGTATGTGTTAATTTTGGGTTTCTGTCACTATTGTGTTGTTGCGATCATGGTTATGTTCAGAGTTAGTGTTTTTTTATGTTTTTTGTCTTTCAATGTTATGCTTCTTGTAATTCTTTATGTGACATGATTGAGTGAGTAGTTGTTTATGGAATTAGTTAACAGTGGTTGTCTACCATTATGTTTAAATGTGTTGAGGTTGTGGTTCCCTATTTTAAATTTGTTTTTTAGTATGTTGGTGGTATGTAATGTAATATATCTTTTATTCTCTGGGCATTTTCAAATTTTTTAGGATTATTTATATAGATATATTAGTTGAAATGTGTGAGTTGGTTTTTGAAGTTGTGTTTTACGATGGTGAAAAGTCTGTGAATAATGGGTCACTGAAATATGTTGGAGAAACTAATATTTTGTCAGGTGATCCAGGCAGATTGGGCTACTTTGAGAATTTGTCAATTCTGAAGGAGATTAGTTATTTCAATGCGAAGGAGATGAATTATGTCAATGTTAAGGAGATGTGGTATTTAGTAAGTGGAGGTTTTATGTTGGAAGGAAGGTTGGAATTTCTCTTTGATGACAAATGTGCATGTCGTATGGTGAACATTGTCACACTCAACTGTTATGTTGTACACATAGTGTCCAAACCTCAAATAATAAATAACTTGGAATATTTTCCTCATGAGGGTGATGGTAATGAGGGTAGTTGTATGGATGAGGTTAAAGGTGAAGATGAATGTGAACATGAAGTTGATGTGGAGGGGGAGGGGGAGATGAAGTTCATGTGAATGGGGAGGGTGAGGATGAAGTTCATGTGAAGGGGGAGGATGAAATTGAATTTGATGTGGAGGGGAGGAGGAAGGTACGTAATGGTAAGGGTTAGGACGACTTTGATCTGAGTAGTTGAAACAAGTTCAAAGGGCAGGTTTTGAGAGTGGATGTTAGTATTTATGGAGATGAAGTGGAAGACAAATTTTAGGAAGGTAATGTCAAAGTTGAAGTAGGAATTGGTGAAGAATATGTCTTTGGACCCAGTGGGTCTTTTAGCCAAAAGTCAAAGGAAGTAGTTAAAGATGTACCTGATAGAGGTTTGTCTAACACTCAATGAAAATTTGAAAGTTTAGATAATGGTGAATATGGTGACTTAACACCGATAAAGACAAACATAAACACTTTGAAATATTTTCAATGACCAAAAGTATGGAAGACTATAAATAAATCAAATACAAAATTTTATTATTCATTTTTACATTTATAAAAATATTTATATTCAACTAATTAAAAGGTTGTATTTTTTTAGTTTGAATTAAAATGGGCTCGTTTGAATGAAAATATGTCCGCTTAAACGAAAATGTACCTGTTTAGCAAAAATTGGATAATTTCGTAAATTAAGTTGTAGTGTTACTTTTACTTAAGTGTAAAAGTTCTTTGCTTGAGAAAAATATGATCAAGAGTAAGATTATTTTCAACTCTATTTTCGTTTGAGTGAAAAAAAATTGGTTAAAGGACAAAGTCAATAATAACAACCACAATAACAAAAATAACCATCAAATACCATGATATTGTAATAATAATAAAAATAACAATATAACAAAAACAAGATAACAATAATGACAATAATAACAATACCAATTATAAAAATGACAATCATAATAATTATTACAAAAAAGGAAAATAATAATAATAATACTAATAATAAATTGTAATAGTAATATTAGTAATAAAGAAAGACAAGAGGATTGTCTTTAACTAATATAACAACTTTATACTGTCATGTTGTCCTTTAAGGTTAAAAATGAAAAATGATATTTTGACATACACACTTATTTATTTATTTGACACTATCTTCTTTCTTTATTTATTTTTTCTTAAAAATACAAAAAATATTTATATAATTATTTTACTCTTATAATAAATATCAAATAAATATAAATATAAATATATGTCAACTTATCATTAATCACTAAAAATAGGTCAATGTCATATTTTATTGTTATAGGCCACGGCTAGGAGAATTTTTTTATTGATTTGTTTTGTGATTGGTTTTCAACGTTTGATTCTATTGCCATTTTCAGGTGCTTGTATCGCTAGTGGTTGATAACATGTTACGACTAGAGGGCTTCAATACTCATCCAACAAAGTGTCCTGCCGTACACATTTCATATCGTGCCCCTTAAAATCGTGAATAGCCAATCAGATATGAAAAATATTCTTTCACACGGTTAAATTTTTTATATTTATTTAACATTATTTTTTTTTACTTTTTATTCTCTGCTTTCTTGAAAAAATATAAAACATTACATTTGTGACCAATTTATCTTTATATTATATGTCAAATAAATATAAAAGTATGTCATGATATCATTACTAATTATTATGTATTCTTATTTTTTATGCTATATATATTTGTGTTATTTATTTATTTATTAAGTATTCCTTACCGTTAAAAAAAAATGTTGACTAATTTTCTTATATTATAACTTTTTGGAAATCTTTAAAAGTTGAGCTGTGTTTAACAATTAAAAAGATGCTTATAAAGTAATGCAAAGAGGCAATGTGAGTGATTAAATCCATCTATATGGAGATATTTAGAGCAACAAGTTGCCTTGTGGACGTGGGCCCACCTTTTCTATTTGGACCCTAAAAGTGGCTTACAGAGTAATTAACACCTGCAAATAGTAATTATAAATTGTTTTTACAAATTGATGAAGTTACCTTCTCAGGTTTTTTCTATACTGTAATCAAATGCCTATAAATGGGCACGGTGTATGTGACTATCAAGCATCAAATCTCAGCCAACCCCATCCTCTCTTTTCTGCTGCTTCTGAGTGTGTGATTTTGAGATAGAGAAAAAGAAAATACTAGGGCTATGATCGCATCGATATATTAGCATGCACTGTCAGAAACACTTCAAATGAACCTCTTCCATCGTTGATTCACCCTCGAAAACCTTTTATCTTGTCTGAGAGAAGCCGAACATGTCCGTAACCGTGAAAGCATGCTGCACTGTGAGGCCAATAGAGGCAACATGGTGCGGACGCGTAGCTTTATCTGAATGGGATCAAACAGGCAAAGTAACCCACGTGCCCTTTATCTACTTCTACCGTCTTCCACAAAACTGCCTCTCTCAATACAACACCATTGCTTCCACCTTGAAGGACTCATTAAGCCGAGTCCTGGTGCCGTTTTATCCACTTGCCGGTCGTTTGCATTGGACAAACAATGGACGTTTAGAAATTGATTGCAATGCCACCGGCGCTCGATTCATTGAAGCCGAATCATCATCAACCTTACAACATTTAGCTGATTTTTCATCTTGTTCGGAACACCACTACCTTGTCCCTGCTGTGGACTACTACTCCCTACCAATTCACGAGTTGCCGTTGGTTCTGGTTCAGCTGACGAAGTTCAAGTGCGGTGGCATTTGTATTGGCGTAACACTTTCGCACGCAGTTGTGGATGGACCAAGTGCACTGCACTTCGTATGTGAGTGGGCAAGGCTTTCACGGGGCGAGCCTCTGCGTACGGTGCCATTCCTTGACCGGAAAATTTTGCGTGCTGGGGAGCCTCCTTTGGTGCCACTAACAAAATGTCACGTTCACACGGAGTTCAATGATCCGCCCTTCTTGCTGGGCCGAACTGATAACAGGGAGGAAAGGGAGAAGGAAACCACGATGGATTTCGTTAAAATAAGCAAAACTCAAATTGAAAGATTGCAAAAGAGAGCAAACGAGAGTTCGCCAAGGCCTAGAAATGATCGTGGTTATTCCCGTTATGAGAGCGTGACTGGTCACATATGGAGATGTGCAAGCAAGGCAAGGGAGCACAAAGAGAACCAACCTACCGTTCTTACTGTTATAGTTGACTCAAGGGGTCGCATGAAACCTCCTTTGCCAGAAGGGTACTTCGGGAATGCCAATTTGGATAGTGTTGCATGTAGTCTTGCGGGTGATTTGGTGTCGGAGCCTTTGGGGTATACGGCGAGTAGAATAAGGGAGGCGATTGAGAGGGTGAGCGATGAGTACGTGAGGTCGGGGATTGAGTTCTTGAAGAATCAGGAGAATATAAGAAGGTTTCATCAAGATCTTCACGAAGAAGGGAGAGAGAAGGAGCCTTTCTTTGGGAACCCGAATTTGTCTGTGGTGAGTTGGTTGAGGTTACCTTTCTACGGCATTGATTTTGGGTGGGGGAAGGAGGTTCGTATGAGTCCGGCAACACATGACTTCGATGGAGATTTCGTGCTTCTTCCTGATCCTGATGAGGATGGCTCTATACTCGTTTGTATAGGTCTGCAAGTGCTGCATCTTGATGCATTTAAGAAGCATTTTTACGAGGACCTTGCATAAGACTCGTGGGAACGCCTCAGCCTATCTCAGCTGAAATAGAACAGCTTCGGAACTTAGCATAACCTAAATACGTCACGACCTTGTCACCTTTTCCTTCTATCACCTTTTTCATTTTTCCAAGATAAAGTATATTCATCTCGTTTTGCATTAAGTTAATTTTTATATAAATTTTTATCACAAATTATATTTTACATATAGCATATTATCAATATTAATATTTAATGATTAAATATGTTTTTAATATCTAAGTTTAGACTAAAAAGTGTAATTCATTATAAATTTTATACATATTAAAAATAAATGTATATAATCCTTTTAAGAAAACATTTTTCTTTTGAATTTTTTAAAACTGTATTCCGTGCTAAAATTTCAGTTGAAACTTATCAAATCCCAAAACACATTGTCAAAAAAAATTAATTATTTTTAAATTTAATGTATCAAAGTTTCGAATATTAATAAGTTTTAATTTTACGTTTATAAACTAAAAATACATTTAATCCGTATATATTTTACTATTAAATTATTATTAAAATGATGCAAATATATCAAATTAGTCAATTAATTAAAATACTACCAAATGACTATGCGGTAAAAGAAATTATTGAGATATTGTATTGACAACACTAATATTTAGGAAGTACTTTTGACAATTTTCTAAAATTAAAGTACCAGCAAAAATATTAGTTTTAATCATTAAATGTTTTAAACGACTAAAGCACTAACCTAAGTATGTTTCTGGAGGCCTAAATTGTGGTAAAAGCACGTGATATATTAAGAAGTTTAAAATGTATATATAGTTGAATCACCAATTTAATTCTTAAAATTGCAATAGCTGTTAAATTGGTACATGAAATTAGTAAAATAACCACTACAATGACTTTTGGTGGCAGTCGATTAATTAAGTGATTTTAATACAATCCTCAGAGTGATTCAAAGTAAAAACAAAAACTCTAGAAGGTCCTCAAAGGAAATTTGACCAACTAAATATGGGAGTTGATAATAAATCTACATAGCTATTTTACCGTTCGATAATATAAATTAGTCATTAAAATATTTAATCAAATAATGCATTTTCTGGCTAGCTATAGAAAAAAATGGCCAGCAAATAATTGTCGGTAATTTTTTTTTCTGTTGTTTTGAACTAAAAACATTATAATTATTAATGATCGGTTATTTAGTCTTAAAATTGAAATAACAGGTCATGTTGATCTTTAAATTAAGAAAATATCAAATAATTNATATATATATATATATATATAACAAATATATATTTAGTAATTATAAAAAACTTTAGTGTCAATTTTATTATAATTAATATAATATATATGCATACATAAATGATATTGTTTCTAAGAGTTAATTAAAGTCTTGTAATAAGATTAAATCATCTTAACAATGACACTTAAGAGAGGACTTTGAGAGTTTGAGTTTTTTTTGGCCCCCACTTGAGGAGAGATTCTAAAAAGGGACATTTTCAAAGGTGACCTAGAGTTGAATCATAGATCAAGTTGACAACTCTACTTTTTATATTGCTCATTATTAACTCAAGTTATTAAAACATAGTTTTTTGTTACCATAATATTTTTAAGGCTTAATAACTCGGATTATCCCCATTTTGGTAGAAAATTTCAATTTGGTATAGCTTTTAAGTTTACATCAATTTTGTTCTCAAATTCTTTAATGTGCATCAATCAAATCCCCATTTGACATCGTTAAAATAGTTAATGTTGTCTAATTAAACATGGTCTAGTGACAATTTATGTAGACGTGACACATGAATATTTTGTGATGTGGAAATTTGGGAGAAAAATAAGAAAATTAAAAACCAAATTGGAATAAAGACTTTCTCTATCTGTGAGAAGATGACGGAAAGACGATTTGGAGATTCCTTGTTATTTGTAAGTGAAAGTAAAAAATCAAACTTCAATTGACAACAAAGTGGGCTAGATTTTCAATTGAAAGTGCATATGTCTTGACTATGTACCATTGTATGTGTTAATTTTGGGTTTCTGTCACTATTGTGTTGTTGCGATCATGGTTATGTTCAGAGTTAGTGTTTTTTTATGTTTTTTGTCTTTCAATGTTATGCTTCTTGTAATTCTTTATGTGACATGATTGAGTGAGTAGTTGTTTATGGAATTAGTTAACAGTGGTTGTCTACCATTATGTTTAAATGTGTTGAGGTTGTGGTTCCCTATTTTAAATTTGTTTTTTAGTATGTTGGTGGTATGTAATGTAATATATCTTTTATTCTCTGGGCATTTTCAAATTTTTTAGGATTATTTATATAGATATATTAGTTGAAATGTGTGAGTTGGTTTTTGAAGTTGTGTTTTACGATGGTGAAAAGTCTGTGAATAATGGGTCACTGAAATATGTTGGAGAAACTAATATTTTGTCAGGTGATCCAGGCAGATTGGGCTACTTTGAGAATTTGTCAATTCTGAAGGAGATTAGTTATTTCAATGCGAAGGAGATGAATTATGTCAATGTTAAGGAGATGTGGTATTTAGTAAGTGGAGGTTTTATGTTGGAAGGAAGGTTGGAATTTCTCTTTGATGACAAATGTGCATGTCGTATGGTGAACATTGTCACACTCAACTGTTATGTTGTACACATAGTGTCCAAACCTCAAATAATAAATAACTTGGAATATTTTCCTCATGAGGGTGATGGTAATGAGGGTAGTTGTATGGATGAGGTTAAAGGTGAAGATGAATGTGAACATGAAGTTGATGTGGAGGGGGAGGGGGAGATGAAGTTCATGTGAATGGGGAGGGTGAGGATGAAGTTCATGTGAAGGGGGAGGATGAAATTGAATTTGATGTGGAGGGGAGGAGGAAGGTACGTAATGGTAAGGGTTAGGACGACTTTGATCTGAGTAGTTGAAACAAGTTCAAAGGGCAGGTTTTGAGAGTGGATGTTAGTATTTATGGAGATGAAGTGGAAGACAAATTTTAGGAAGGTAATGTCAAAGTTGAAGTAGGAATTGGTGAAGAATATGTCTTTGGACCCAGTGGGTCTTTTAGCCAAAAGTCAAAGGAAGTAGTTAAAGATGTACCTGATAGAGGTTTGTCTAACACTCAATGAAAATTTGAAAGTTTAGATAATGGTGAATATGGTGACTTAACACCGATAAAGACAAACATAAACACTTTGAAATATTTTCAATGACCAAAAGTATGGAAGACTATAAATAAATCAAATACAAAATTTTATTATTCATTTTTACATTTATAAAAATATTTATATTCAACTAATTAAAAGGTTGTATTTTTTTAGTTTGAATTAAAATGGGCTCGTTTGAATGAAAATATGTCCGCTTAAACGAAAATGTACCTGTTTAGCAAAAATTGGATAATTTCGTAAATTAAGTTGTAGTGTTACTTTTACTTAAGTGTAAAAGTTCTTTGCTTGAGAAAAATATGATCAAGAGTAAGATTATTTTCAACTCTATTTTCGTTTGAGTGAAAAAAAATTGGTTAAAGGACAAAGTCAATAATAACAACCACAATAACAAAAATAACCATCAAATACCATGATATTGTAATAATAATAAAAATAACAATATAACAAAAACAAGATAACAATAATGACAATAATAACAATACCAATTATAAAAATGACAATCATAATAATTATTACAAAAAAGGAAAATAATAATAATAATACTAATAATAAATTGTAATAGTAATATTAGTAATAAAGAAAGACAAGAGGATTGTCTTTAACTAATATAACAACTTTATACTGTCATGTTGTCCTTTAAGGTTAAAAATGAAAAATGATATTTTGACATACACACTTATTTATTTATTTGACACTATCTTCTTTCTTTATTTATTTTTTCTTAAAAATACAAAAAATATTTATATAATTATTTTACTCTTATAATAAATATCAAATAAATATAAATATAAATATATGTCAACTTATCATTAATCACTAAAAATAGGTCAATGTCATATTTTATTGTTATAGGCCACGGCTAGGAGAATTTTTTTATTGATTTGTTTTGTGATTGGTTTTCAACGTTTGATTCTATTGCCATTTTCAGGTGCTTGTATCGCTAGTGGTTGATAACATGTTACGACTAGAGGGCTTCAATACTCATCCAACAAAGTGTCCTGCCGTACACATTTCATATCGTGCCCCTTAAAATCGTGAATAGCCAATCAGATATGAAAAATATTCTTTCACACGGTTAAATTTTTTATATTTATTTAACATTATTTTTTTTTACTTTTTATTCTCTGCTTTCTTGAAAAAATATAAAACATTACATTTGTGACCAATTTATCTTTATATTATATGTCAAATAAATATAAAAGTATGTCATGATATCATTACTAATTATTATGTATTCTTATTTTTTATGCTATATATATTTGTGTTATTTATTTATTTATTAAGTATTCCTTACCGTTAAAAAAAAATGTTGACTAATTTTCTTATATTATAACTTTTTGGAAATCTTTAAAAGTTGAGCTGTGTTTAACAATTAAAAAGATGCTTATAAAGTAATGCAAAGAGGCAATGTGAGTGATTAAATCCATCTATATGGAGATATTTAGAGCAACAAGTTGCCTTGTGGACGTGGGCCCACCTTTTCTATTTGGACCCTAAAAGTGGCTTACAGAGTAATTAACACCTGCAAATAGTAATTATAAATTGTTTTTACAAATTGATGAAGTTACCTTCTCAGGTTTTTTCTATACTGTAATCAAATGCCTATAAATGGGCACGGTGTATGTGACTATCAAGCATCAAATCTCAGCCAACCCCATCCTCTCTTTTCTGCTGCTTCTGAGTGTGTGATTTTGAGATAGAGAAAAAGAAAATACTAGGGCTATGATCGCATCGATATATTAGCATGCACTGTCAGAAACACTTCAAATGAACCTCTTCCATCGTTGATTCACCCTCGAAAACCTTTTATCTTGTCTGAGAGAAGCCGAACATGTCCGTAACCGTGAAAGCATGCTGCACTGTGAGGCCAATAGAGGCAACATGGTGCGGACGCGTAGCTTTAT